CTTTCCCATGTTCCAATGAAAACAAAACCCGAGGAAACCCCGGAAGAGAAGGAATACCAAGATAGGAGAAGAGAAGCTGTTTTTCGTTAATCTTTTATGGATGGGTTAGGAAGAAGGAAGGTTGGTTGTATAGGAAACAGGTGTGAGATTGCAGGAGATTTATTTGGATCCTGTGATGAAGGATGATGCAATTGCAGCTTCAGATGGTATAATAGCTAGAATCCTTTTGTTAACTCTTGATTTGAACTTCAACAATTCTTTTGCAATGCAAAGACAGCCTCTCTCTCTCTGTTTCAATTTCTGCCATGGTACCTTTCCTCTCTTCTTTTTTTGCTTTTAGTTATTCACTTGGTGTTGCTTGGAAAATGCAAGTAGTCCATTTTTTATTTTCCCTACCTTTACCTCTTTCCTTTGGCATTGATTTTTGGAATTAAAGGGAGAAAAAAAGGGAACAATATATATATATTCAAAATTCTGTTCCTCTAGAATATTTTTTAACCGATTATTTTTTTTTCCTGATATTCATTTTACACACACTACAGTAATATCCAAATGGCTATCAAATATGTACAACAATAAAACAGAGAGAAAAAAAGACCACCTTCCTAACAAAAATGAATAAAATCTTAATTAGATCTTTTTCTTCAATCACCATGGCGGTTCCTGTCAGAATATAAACACTAACGGTACGCATTCTAATTATAAAAAAACACACACGCGCACACACCCAAGACCCAAAAATGGCCCTCCTCCTCCACATCCTGGGGGCGGTGTGCTCTTCTCATCTTTTCCTTCCGACCAGCAACTCGTGTTCTGTCCAAAGACTTGGTCGTGTTCTAGTTTTGTTTTTCTAACCAAGCCTTCTGTTCCAGTGGCCTGAAGTCTCAAACCCACTCCCCCAACCCTCTTTCCTCCATGTCTTTGAACTAAACAGAGAGGGTTCAGTAGGAATCTTGCCTTTCACTCACCGGCTTGTTGCTTCTGATCCGAAGGCTTCACCACCTGAACCGCCGCGGGAACGGCATGAACGTAAGGGAACCCGGGAGGGACGAGCTGATGATGATGCAACTTCCCGGGGGGTTGAGCAGAAGAAGCATACGGACCCGAGCCAGGAACTCCCTGACCATGCTGCTGCAAGTTTCCTCCTTTCATGTTATTAGCCGCCGCAGCTGCAATGGCTTTGGCCGGGTCGGAAGTGGCCGTGGCCGTGGCTGTGCTGCTGTTGGAGAGGGCGGAGACCGGATGGCACAAGGAATGAGACGTTGCAGCGGGTGACGAGCCTTGCGGTTGCTGATGCCTTTGGAGGTAATAGCCGCTCGGGTTAGAAATAGTCATCTGCTGCTGCTGTTGAGGAGATTGCATATAAGGGCTGGAGAAGAAAAGCTGAGCCTGCTGCAAGGCATGCTTCGGCGGCTGTTGCGACTTTGAACCAGCGCTCGTTGTGGGATGATTAACATGAGGGTTACCCAGAATGGAGGAAGGCTCGTTCCTTCCACCAGCCGATGATCCTGACGGGTTAGGAACCGATCCGGCTGGGGAGTTCCTAGATTGCTGAGATGATGACAGAGTGGAGGATACTTGACCACTTTTGTTAATTGTTGAGGCCGAAGTAGTTGTTGTCCTCGGGCTTCCACCCGCGCTTTTGGACACGGAAGAAGTAGAGGGAGACCCGACTGCCATCCGAGGGGACTGAGACTGGTTGGCACTCGGCCCTTGCTGCATCAGTGGACCAGATGGCATAGGTTTAGAAGAGTTTGCTGTAAACGATATCTGTGACTGCTGTGGTCGGCCTTGCTGTTTCTGCGGCACATTTTTTAGGGACGACGCAGCGGAAGATGACAGTATGGAAGGAGACTGAACCTGGGCTGGGGTGGTCGTCCTGGAGGAATTCGTTTTCCACTGAGGAGAGTGAACCGGACTGCCAGTGGTGGACTGGACAAGATTTTGAGGTAACCCTGAATTAGAATTCGGATACTTGCCTCCGACAACTGAAGATGTGGTGACACTGTGATCTGGGAACATACTTCCGTTACTTGTCACAGGCCCTTTGCTTCTAGCCGCAGCAACTGCAGCAGCAGCAGCTGCATATTGTTGTTGCTTCTGGAGATAAATGGTATATTGTTGCTGTGGTTGATTCCTTTGCAGCTGCTGCTGCTGCTGCTGGTAGTGGGATGTTTGTGTAGAACTTGAAGTCTGAATCGGAGTGGAGCTAAGGTTGAGTAGCCGAGCAGAGCTATCGATGACTCCACTGCCCGTTACTCCAGGAACAGATGCATCTGCTAAATCCGGCTTACTAGAGAAAGCAATAGACTGACCGCCGCTTGAAGAAGCCGTCTTTCCTGTTGCGCCTGTCTTCCGTTCCTCCATGGCATTAGCAGCGGAACTAGGACCAGATTTTCCGTCTTCTGGTGGGTTATAGTTCATCTTCTGTTGAGCTGCTTGAGCTGCAACAGCAGCTGCCATCATCTGGTGATACCCTTGCCTTGCAGCCTCCGGAATGCTGTGGAAGATAGCATGATTCTGAGCAATGGAAGGCATGTTAAGGCCGGGGGAACTAGCCCCGTTGAATGTTGCGAACGTCATGGCATAAGCCTGAGATTGGAGGGAATCCACACCGGCCTTTGAACCCTGCTGTTGCGATTTCTTTTCTCCATGATTTCCAGAAGAACCGGCCACTGCACCACCCGAGGCTGCTGAATTCATCAGACCCAAGTTCGTTGGCTGCATTGGCATAGCAAAGTTCTGGCCATATGCAACACTGGAGCGAGAGATCCGGCTATCAGCAGTTGATGGGCTATCTTCTCCAGCAGTTTCATTTTGTTGAGTTGCGTTTTCTCTCGGGTGCTGCCTCTGCTGAAAGCTCATAGGCTGAGATTGAACCTTCGAGGCAGGAAACCTTTGTGGGTTCCCCGGATTCATCGCAGCCCTCTGCTGTTGGTTCTGCAAATGCTTTTGTGCCGAAGAGGAACCTGAGGAAACGCTTGCAGTCTGGTTGTTGTTAGGAGCTTGACCCTGTTGTCCCTGACCAGGTTGTTGCTGTGGCTGAAGATGAGGAGGATGGATCATTTGAGACGAATAGAATGAACCGTTAAAGAAGGGTATCGGCTGCCCGGGCGGCCCTCTGTAAGCAGGAGGTGGACCCACATGAGCCGGTACCGGAAATGGATACCCATTGTTCTGCAAGATAGCCAGGTACTGAGTTTCATTGCCCGGCATGTTCGGGTAGCTGAAGCTCATAGCCGTTGCACCAGCTGGGGTAGCTGATGGTGCAGAACCATTCACGGGCGTAGAAGAAGCAGTACCAGAGGAAGCTGCATTGCCACTCATAGGCGGTCTAACCGAAGCAGCAGCTATAGCAGCTGCATGCGGTTGCTGACCCAACGGGAAGATAAAGGCCGGACCATGCTACAATAATAAGAAATAAAAAAGACAAATCAAATCAGTGAAGTTCAAGGAAAAGAGACTAGGTGTGACAAAGAAAGAGGAAAGACAGGAAACTTTACCAATATATTATTAGGGGCTCCTGGTGGCAACGATGGCTGAAGCAATATTTGCTTCCTTTGGCTTGTGTCTGAGCTATTAGATGTAGTAGACTGAGAGCTTTTATCAGGTGGTGCCAAGTTGGAACTCCTTCCCAAAACATTCCCTTGAAGTTCTGTGGAAGGCATGAGACTGAGATTGCAGGCTTTCCCCCCACCATACAAAGGAGCCGAGCCTGCAGCAGCAGCAGCAGCAGCAGCAGCAGCAGAAGGCCAAAACGGATTCATCTTCGTGAACTGTTGATGGTAATGAATGTTCCTCGCGATGTAACAATGAGTGGCGCATCTTTTAGGCCTCGGCTGGTTAAATAACAATTGCGGAGGCTGCTTAACAAACAAAATTATGGATTAGAAAGAGCCAGAAAAGAATTCAACAGAGCAGAACAGAGTGAGAGATGAATCACCAATTTACCTGCATTGTTGCAGACGGCAACGAGCTTGTATCTGCGGGTACTACTCCCTGTGTAGGTGCCATGTATCTGTTCATATCCAGAGATTTTCTTTTTTAATACCTCACGATGAGGAAAAAAAGGAGTAGCCCAAAAAAAAAATGAAAACCATTGCTAAAATTTACCCAAGCATACCCCATTGTAGGAAGGCCTCCGGGCCAACCAGGCATTGACATGTGCACAGGCAAAGGACTTGCTTGCGCTACAAAATTAAAGACAGAGATTTACCCAAATCAATAAATTGTCGGAACAACCGACAACGAAAAACACCCAATAGAAAAAAAAAAAAGCTTTCTTTCTCTCTTTCTTCTTCCTTGATACAGAAGATCATAAAGGCGGAAACTTTACCAGTTCTCTCGGCACTGGGCATGTGTTGCTGTGTATGCTGCTTCTGGCCAAGGTGGCTGAGCTTGTTCAAGCCCACGGTCGCAGAGGAGGAGGTGGTCTCTCGATCGGATTTCTCATGATCAAGCTTGAGTTCTGTGTTCCTATCTGATTTCTGGGATTCAGATTCCATGGCCGTTCTTGGTTTCTTCTCATCAGGCTCCCGGATGGAGTCTTCCTTGGATCCGAATTTCTCAGCCTTGGAGCCATTTTCCCGATGCAGTAGAGGCTTAGCATCCTGCTCTCATACCAAACAAAAAAACCCACCAACGATGAGGGTGAGGGGGAGAAAATAAAGGACGAATCAGAACAAAAAAAAAAAGGGAGAAAAAAAAGGACAATCATTTTAATGGATATCCCCATTATCACAATACCAACCAAAAGAGGATGGTAGGGCCTACACTCACCGTTTCCACAGCTTTAGGTTTAGCCTCTGCCGCCACATATTCCATCTCTCCATCTCTCTCCGGTGACGATCTCGCCGGTGGTGGCGCCTGGATTTAAGCAAAAAAGAGATAAAAAATCAGAAAAAAAACATGAGATAATTATAAAAAATCTAAACTTTTTTTTGGGCTGATGGAGATATACTAAAATATACGATAGATTGAAAACCCACCATCAGATCTATCTCGAATTTCTCCTTTTCCAGTGGTGGCAAACTCCTACATGACAAAAATAGGAGAAAAACGGCATCTTGAGCATCAGAACGAGGGGAAAAAAATCCAAAGAAAATAGACAGACACGAATCGAATCTTGTATCCTTACGTCTTAGCGGCTATGGTGACAACGCCGTCTCCATCTGATCTAAGCCCAGAAGAACCTTCTATCTTGGTTGATATAGATTCCTCTTTGGACAAGGAACTTTCTTTTTTCACCAATTCTTCGGCCGTTGCCGGCCTCGAATCCAGAGACGGCCTGCTTTCTCGATCAGCCTTTAATTGCGGATGAGCCGATAAGCTTGATGGGTTCGTCGAATCCAATACGGAGTCATTTTCTCCGATGGATCCTGAAATCTTCCCTATATTGGATGACGGAGCTTCTGCTTTCGCTGGAGCTGCGGATTCGGCTATTATGGTAGAGGAAATAGAACTCATGCGAGACGGTAAAGCGGAGCTGTTCTCGTCTTCGAATGTGACCGGTCTAGGCCTCTTCCTCTTAGGAGCTGCAATCAAAGAACAGAAGAAAAAAGTAGGCCCATTAATCTAATCAGAAACCCAGAAAACGATGAGAGGTGACAGACTATTGTCGCTGGAGAAAGCTCGAGATACTAACCGATGGCCGAAACAGTAGAGGCGATAGAGTTTGTGGCGAGAGCAACAGACAGAGGAAGAGTGGACTGTGAGTTGGAGATCAGAGAAGAAACCCTGGATTTGACGTCTACCGTTGATTTGGTCCCGGGATTCACATTTCCAGCCTCTCCAGAATCATTCACTCCGGTTTCAAGCTTCGACGGTCCCAGTGGTTGCCTCATCATGCCGTACAACACCTCCGCGATCTCGATCTCGATTTCATCCTGAGCCGCCATCGGGGATGACGACTTGCACGACGACGACTTGGGAGGCAGTGGCTTCTGTTTCGGCACCGATGGCTAAAATCCAGAAACAGATTCCATTAGTCAAAAAGAAGAAGATGGATATGTAGATGGAGACGAAGATGGGTTAAATCTGAGATACCAACCATCTTCTTCCGGACAGAAACGCTCGAGGAAGATGGCGACGGCGGAGCTGGTGGAGAAGGTGAAGCTAACATCGAAGCGGGGCTGACCCTCGCCGGAGACGTCGAGACTTGGCGGTGGATTTGCTCCCCAGCGGCGAAAACGCCACCGGCAGTGGCACTCGATGCCCACGACTCATGCGGTCTCTTTGTAGATGCTGAAACAGAAAACACCGAGAGAGAAAAAAATCAAAAAAATTTCGAAACAGATCGGTCAGTGAAGGATATGCTGATAATGAAATTGTTCCACCTCTCTACCTGACCGTGCTTTTCTCGGGACCGACACACCGATCATCTCGTCGGCAGTTTTCCATGACGAAACGAGTGGAGACGCCGCCGCAGATGCCGGTGTCGACGCCGGTGAAGGAGACGATCTGAAAACTTTCGCCGGAGGAAAGCTCTTCCTCTGGTGGAGAATACCGCTACTGCTTTGGTGGTTTGACAACGATGACGAAAACGACGCCGTATTAATATTGCTCGCCGGCGGGAGCATCTTCACCGAGGACGGTGGTCCTCCGCCGCCATCGTACTCCTCGTCGTCGTTGACGCTCTCCTCGGAGCTCTCGTCACCACCGTCGTCCATATTCCCGTGCATCATCATCAACCTGTCTCCTCTCCTCCTCTTGCTCCGACTATTCAACCGATCCCTCTCCCTGTCTCTGTCACGGTCTCGATCTCGATCTCGATCTCGATCCTTCTTACCGCTCCCTCCCCGATCTCTCAGTCTCGCCGCCTCCGGCAACTCCACCGGACCATCATCCTCTGCAAGAACCAGACAAGAACGCCCCAAATCGTCAGAGAAACACAGAAGTCAGACCCGTTGTCACACGGATCTGAAGAAACTTTCAACAAAAAACAAGAATCAATGAAACAAACCTGGAGAGTCCCTGAAACTTCCTGCTCTATGCCGCCGTCGAGACAAGCCATTTCCGGCGGCAGCCATAGTAACTCTTCGAGCTTCTCTATTTCTATCCATCTCTCTCTCTCTATGCTTCGCTCCTCCTTCCCTAATCCCTCTCTCTCTATCTCTATCTATCTCTACTTGGTTCCCATTATCTTCTTCCTCTATTTGTGCTCATCATACAAGCAGTAGCGAAGAATCCACGGCTCATATCCCCTGCCGTAAATCATTACTTCAATCTCCACCGTCGGTGTATCCACATCCAACGGCCTTAATTAGCTACACACCAGCGTGGCTAAATCTCCACCCTCCAATTGTTTTTAATCATTTTGCCCTCTCTAAAAAAAGAAATAAAACATCTGCATTATTTTCATTAATTTATTAATATTATAATGTTATTGCTTGAATAGGGTTCATGTGGAGATTTATTTTGCACTGTTGCCATTTACTTACAAAGGGGCTGCCACGTGTTAGTCGTTCCACGTCGCAAGCTTTTATTTTATTTATTTTTTATATATCGAGGAAGTATAAAATAATAATAAAACTGAAGAAGAAAACACAATAATGATAGTATGAAAATGGTAAAATGAAATATAAATATAAATAATAATAATAATAATATAATCGATAAAAAGACGGAATAGCCTTCCTGGGGTGGTGCATTGTTGTCCACGAATCGCGATGAGTAGAGAGAAAAAAAAAGGACACGGATACATATATCATAATCATATAGGACCAATTTATAAAAATATTATTATTTTAAATAAAATAAAAATATTCCCTGTGACGGGCTATTGCCGGTCGTCACAGACCTCGGTAAAGGCAACACCACGATCATAATGGAATCTTGTGACCACAAGACCGCACCGCTTCCACCGGTCAAATTCATCATTTTTCCCGTTCCACTTTGTCCCCCCTTTTATTTATTTATTGAAGAATTGCATCATCATTTATTAAACCTACGGTTTTACAATTTTAAAATAATTAAATTTAATTTCATGAATTTATTTAAGAGAGATCAATAATAATGTGTTGAGAGGTCTGTAATATAGTGGGGCGAACTATGCTAGTAACATAGACAGGAAGTGGGACCCACATATTTTTTAATACAATTAAAGATCAACGGCTGAGATCTTCTGTCGCAATCTATCAGCCGTTGGATTTTTTGTTTTTATTTTCCGTCTCTTTTTTTCTCTCATCTGACTTGGCAGAAAGCGCCATCGCGTAAAGGAGTTCCGAGTTGGCACCCGACCAACTAATCCTGTCCGTCCAAAAGGGAATGGATCAACGGCTAAGATGCGATTAAAGGGAAAAAGGTGGGACCCGCTTCACTCGAGTCGCGGTCACGGAACTTCCGAGAAGTATGGGACCCACTGTTAGCTGCCGATCTAGAAATTATTTCCGTAGCCCTGGACCGTATTTGTTATTCCCATTATTCTAAAAATCTTCAATTAAATTATTTGAGATTTTAAGATATAAAAAATCCAAATTTGTTTCCTTTATTATATTTTACTCAAGAAAATGCACAAACATGGAAAACTACATCTAGCGATTAAATAGATCAACTGAATTAGATCTCTTAACTTCACAAACTAGAAAAATATGCTTCAGCTACATACCTGTAGCATATATATATATATAAATGATCAATATATATATATATATATGATGAAACTGAGGAATATTGTTTAAATTTTTTTATTGTGATGACTGATGACGTGGATGGGCCCCACTATAAGCCTAGTCAGAATTAACCACGCGGTTAACCAGAGAAAGAGAAATGCTGAAGCTCCACGCGCCATCTGGCGCGCGTGCATGAGAAACTAATCTCAAAGATATCCACGTGGTTTAAGAGATGTTGACACGTGGGTTAATCTCATTTTGACACGTGGAAGTTCTTTCCGCTTAATCGTCGTCCTTGGATCTTGTTGTTATTACTCCTTCCGCTTTTCATGTGGTCGCAAAGCGTGTAAATATCTTAAAGGTGATAAGGAAGGTGGAAGGGGAAAGATAACCGCACGGGTCGTTCACCGAGGAAAAGCGCAATGCCCATCACACGCCACGTAGCGTTAAATGATTGGTCAAAAATTTTATCACGTCCGCGGAGGTGCTGTCACCTACTCGGCAAATGCCAGTACGTACGAATTAAATATTCAGATGGACTGATATGCCACGTCGGATATTGTGGGTCCTACCAAATGGATTTGTCGGACTTCTTGATATAGTAAAAAAAAAATATAACCCATTGGCCACGTGGCCACTGAGGCGCTACGTCATTTTGCTTACGTGGCATCTCGCTTGACCGTTTGCTTAACCCTAGCCATCTAGGAATAACTTTATTAACTATAATCATTCAATTTTTTTGATAAATAAATAAATAAAAGATCTAGTGACAAAAAAATTAAAAATCGTATTGTTTAATCCAATATGAAAAGATAATTAGGTATCGGGTTTTATAAAATAAAAATATTTGCTGTACTATTATCAAAAATTAAAAGAATATTATTTTGTCGTATTTGTGGATATTATATATTAAAAATATTTCCCCCACGGCAGCTGTGGGGCAAATTGTTGGTTCTTTTGTACTATAGTTATGAAATAAAATATTAATAATTAATTGTATCGATATTTTAACAAAAAAAAAAACAGATAATATTCTTAGATAGCATATGTAGGCTTTAAAATAATAGCCAAATAACATGTCACTATGGCGTTTTTCTTTTTTATTTCGTCATTCAACATCTAGAAAACAATATTAAAGGACTAGTTTATTATTGGGTACAAATATTATATATTTAATAAAATATAAAATTACTAATAAGACGTATTTGGTTTAATTTTTATACGATAACAAAATTATTAAATTACACCGTGAACCGATAGATTTAAATATTTAATTATATATTTAGCGACTAGGTTATATTCGGTAAACTATTATATTACTAATCAGGGCGTCTTTGCTTTAATTTATATGCATAACCTATCTATAACTTTTCTTTTTTATTTCATAATAATTTATTTATTATAAACTATCCCTTTACCTTTATCAATAAACAATTTATTTAATGTACAACTTTATTCAACATAGTAATAGTCCTAATAGTATAATAATAAAAATAATAATGGTAGAAAAATGCACTTAAAAAGTATTAAAAGGTTGGACAGAGCGTGGTGTGTTGTGTGTGTAGTGTACCACAATGGCTTTTATTGTATTTTATGTATTCAAAGTGTTCAATTTTTTTTTTAAATATTTCAAAAATTTGAAGAAAAGTCAAAAGATCCAATATTTAAATTACTGTAATTAGGTTTGAGTTAAATGTATTATGTGCATTTTTTATATACGAGTTTTCTACAGCATGTATAAATTAATACAAAAAATCAAATAAAATTATGAATATTTTGCGTTTTTTTTTAAATAGATTATTTTGACCTAAACTAGCTATGATTGAAAGATTTTTTTTTAAATGGCTAAATTATATTTAATTACGATGGTGGCAATGAGAGACGTTCTTAATACGTATTTTTAATGTATATAAGAAAAGTGGTTTAAGTACACGTAATCCGTCGAAATATAATATTAATTATTAAATGTTATTATAATCGTCGTTTAATTAATATTTTAGGCATTTTTTAATTTAATTTTTTTTGAAAGGTTTCGAGGAGTTGGAACAGGACAGAGACCCATGTACTTTTTTTTTTAATAAATAAAGAAACATTGATATCATTGTGCATCCAGTCGATTTGTAATTTACCGAAGAAGACCACAGAATTGAGTTTGATAGAAAAAGAAGAAAAGCCCATAGGCCCATTAGCATCAAGTGCAACACTGTTAAGCCCATCTCAAGTAGGGGCCCACAGGCCCATTGGCATCGGGATTGAGAGCACCTTTGAAACGTGGAGTTAGGGGTTGGCTAAAGGAAAAATACCGGTAATTTTTCTATCCAGAATTATCTAAAATTTTGAAACGATATTATTTTTCAAAAATCAAAATTTCTGAAACTAAATCGAATTTAATTTTAAAAAAATCTAAAAAACCGATTTTTTTTATTTAAAAAATCTATTTTTTTAAAATAAAAATTAGAACTAAACTGAATTAAAACCGAATCCAAACCGAATAACCGATTGATATATATTTTTATAAAATCGAAAAAATTCTCAAACCAAATACCAAAATGCCTATCTATATAAAGTCTGGGTTTGATCAGAGTATATTAGATTTTGATTATTTCGATTTAAAAAAAAAACATAACTATTTGACTTATAGTTAATTTGATAAATTTAGTTTATCGATAAAAAAACTCTTTTTTTTTAGAATTCGATTTTTTTTTTATTTCAGAAAAATCATAATGATTCTGGTTACATTCGGTTATTTCTATCTTATATTATTATAAGTAGAGTTGGACGTTTCGGAATTCGGATCGGTATTTTAGCGGTTCGGTTCAGGAACAGTTTATTTGGTATTCTAAAATTTGTACCAAATTAGTAACGTATATTATTCGGTTCGATTCGGTTTCGCTTTCGGTACAGTTCTATTTCGGTTTTTATTAAAAAATAGATTTTTTTTTTAAAATTCGGTTTTTCGAAAATTTTATAAAGTTCAATTTGGTTCGATTCTGAAAAATTCGGTTTTATAAAAAACATACCGTTCGGGAATTTTGAACAGTATAATTCAGAAAAAATACCGAAATTTTTGGTTCGATACGATTATTTCAACCGAAACGCCCACCCGTAATTATAAGCACGTTGTTCGGTCATTTCTCGCCTTAATATTATAAACCAACGAAACCCGAAGCAGTAGCCACCAAGATATTATTCCGAAGCCATAAAAGTGTAATGGTAGATTGTATATACAGAAGCTCACACACGCGCACACACAAAATCATTGTAGTACGAAGAATTAGAACGTGTTCTTCAACGTAAGACCGAAGAATCAGTGATACCCAATCGGAGCAGGAGCTTCCTTCAGCTCGCGACCTTGGTAGTGTATGTCCTGCAATATACAAACAAATAAAAATCACATTTTTTTTTTTCATTTTGAGTGCATTTCTCCATCAAATTTGGTGGGATGAAAGAACTAAACCATACCGATGCGAAGTGGTTGACGTCACGGTGGTGAGCTTCATCGGCCCTGACGACCATAACCACATCACGGAGAGTTGCATCGGCAGGAAGCCTCCAGTAGTCGATGGCTATGGCCGGAGCAGGCACGTTCTTGATGTTTCCCTTGTCGAGTTCCTTGAGGAACTCTGTGTACGAGTGAATTGCTTCTTCCTCAAGGTATCCAACCATGCGGTGAGCGAACTTTGGGGAGATCAAGTATCCGAGGAAGTAGGCGTTGAAGAAGACGCCTTGGACAGTAATAACGAGGGCTCTCTCGTACCATCTGGGCTTGGCGACTTCCATGAAAGTCATGAGGTGCATTCTCTCGTTCTCTGCTTCTTCCAGTAGGGCTTTGATCCATCCTCCGCTGTGTTCGAACCGTCTCAGGGATTTGCAGTGCAGAAGCATTCCCCCGACCATTCCGGGTACCGCAGCCACCGTCTCCAGCATCATGGCTCGGCATCCGTATCTCCTCTGTTCAACGAAACGCAGAAATGATGAGTAACAATTTTGTTCATCTTTTGAAGATAGGCCCATGAACAAAATCAATATGGAGGTTTCGATTCATCATTTGGATGAAGAAGATTATCCTCCTGGACAGAAATTGAATACCCGTTTGACACAATCAATTAATAATTGACGAAGATGTAGACAACAATACTGTATCAACAGTATTATTTGATTATTCCACGATATCGGGAAGGATGTAAGAATCGAGATGTTCCAAAAAATTGGAAGCCGGAGATTTAAGGAAATTGAAAGCAGCCTTAGAAATTAAGATCTGGTTCAAGTGGGTTTGTACCTGGAAGAAGAGATCAGTAGGCCATCGGAGAGATTTGACAGTCCAATAAGCAAGTTTATCCATGAACGTCCTTGGAGCATGATGCTTCTTCAGATCTATCGACGTATCGGCTTTGTACGTCTCCCATGGCTGCAGTAAATAAAAAATTCAAATTGTACACATATACACAAAATCATATATGTATATACACATATGCTCTGTGAACATACCCTGAAGCAAGACCATTTCCATTCTGTACCGTCCTCTTTGACGATCTTACTCGGCTGCACGCCCCAGTAACTGACGACTCCTTTCTCGTCCTTATTACCGCCGGCGCCAACACCGCCACCAGAAGATCCGGTCTCCGGTTTTTTCTCTTCCGCGGCAGTTTTCTCTCCCAAGGTTACCGTGCTCGCGTTTCGCACGCCTCCGAATGCAGGATCCCTAACCCAAATCCATCCGCTGACAATCTTTCCGGAGGTCGGAGGAACATCCACCGCCGCTGAATGCTTCAGAAGATGGCCGGAGAGAGCCTCGTGGGACACCGCGCGAGCAGTGGCGGGG